TTCCTAAATCTAGTGAAATCTACTGAAATCAAATCACGGATTGAGATTTGACAAAACCTAACTCAGGTTTACCAAAATTTTATCCATTTTCAGAAAGAAAGTCCCTTCTGTATTTTGTTATATGGTTATATTGCATTCTGCAAAGTTATTGATAGGAGGCTTCGCACCTTGGTAAGATACCAAATTATATTATATATAGAATAGAATAGAATAGAATAGAATAGAATAGAATAGAATAGAATAGAATAGAATAGAATATATGGAATGGGATGGGATGGGATGGAATAGAGGGGTCACATGATCCCCTTTTGCGACCTTCCGGCAAGCAAAGTCAATGGGGAAGTGATTGGACAAAATTCACTCAACCACCGTCTTGCTTAGCAACAGAGATTTTGGGCTAAATTGTGGTGGTAAGTCAAAGGCTACCTGCATTAGATTTGTTAGGGGACCACATTAATCCAGATCATTATGGAATAAATTTATCAACTGGGTCAACTAGGATTTGCCAACCAACCAGCCAGCCAGCCAACTAGTCAGCCAACCAACCAACCAACAACCAACTAACCAAACAACCAAATAGCCAGCCAGCCAGCCAGCCAACCAACCAACCAACCAACCAACCAACCACCAACCAACCAACCAAATAGCCAGCCAGCCAGCCACCAACCAACCAACCAACCAGCCAACCAACCAACCAACCAACTAACCAAATAGCCAGCCAACCACCAACCAAACCAACCAACCAACCAACCAACCAACCAACCAAATAGCCAACCAACCAACCACCAACCACCAACCAACCAACCAACCAACCAACCAAATAGCCAGCCAACCAACCAACCAACCAACCAAATAGCCAGCCAACCAACCAACCAACCAAATAGCCAGCCAGCCAACCAACCAAGCCAGCCAGCCAACCAACCAACCAACCAACCAACCACCAACCAACCAACCAACCAACCAACCAACCCAACCAACCAGCCAGCCAGCCAGCCAAGCAAACTAACAAACAATCAATCACCAACCATGATTCCCCAGAGGTGCTTTTTCAAGAGGCAACTGAACTTCCTTTGTTTTTGTCTTTGAAGACGTTTCACTTCTCCAAGAAGCTTCTTCACTCAGAACCGAAGAAGCTTCTCAGATGAGAGGCAAAATGTCTTCAAAGAAAAGGAAAATCAAGAAAGTCCAGTTGCCTCTTGAAAAAGCCCCTTTGGGACAACCGTGACCTGGAGGACTGAGAATCTCCAGAGACCTCCAGTGATCACATGAACCCTTGGAGAGCTTCACAGAACAACTGAACTGAAAAGGTGCGTGGAACACTGGTGTGATAGTGAGCTCATAACACTAACTAGTTCCCCCAAAACGCCAAAAAAAGGGGGAGGGTAGATGGGGATCCTGAACCTCAGTAAATTCTGAATTGACTTGTATCCCTAGTTAGGTTTTGTATAGCATTTCTTCCTAGTCTCCATCTAATGGTTGAATAAGGTCAACTGGTGCCACAAGGATGTTGCTAAGTTTAATTGTTTCTATTTATATCTTACTATTTCTAGAAGAAGCTGCAAGTGTGGCTTATACCAGCCCTTCTCAATGAGTTGCATCAATCTGAACTTCTAGAAGTTCACCCAGGGCCTTGCTTCCTGAAGATGCTGGAATTGCAACCCACGAGGAAAGCCGGCTGAGATGACCTTCTCTTCCAAATGTGTCCCGCCATCTCAAAATCTCAAGTTGTTCGGAATTCAATAGCCCCAAATTGCAAACTCCTCAATACTCAGAATAACCACGTTACCATGAGAACAGTGTCTTACCCTAGGAACTGATTTATCCCAATTCACGGTTAAACATATCACGATAACCCTAACACAGTCATTCCAATTTTCTAGGTTCTCGTTAATGGCCTTGGCTTGATGGTCATTAAAATATGGTGGCTTGGTACATCATGCAAATGCTGCTTAGGTGCAATACAGGAAGTCCTCGACTTACGACGGTTTGTTTAGTGACCGTTCAAAGTTACAACGGCCCTGAGAAAAGTGGCTTATGACTGTTTTTCACACTTATGATGGTTGCGGTCTCCTGGAGTCACACGATCCCGTTTTGTGACCTTCTGACAAGCAAAATCCATGAGGAAGCCAGATTCACTTAACAACACAATGTTACTGTTGTGATCCACTGAATAGCGGTTGTAAAACGGGACAAAGTTCACTTAACAAATGTTTCACTTGCCAACAGGGACTTTGGGTTCGATTGCGGTCGTAACTCGAGGACCACCTGTATTCTTGCTCTTGTTATTATTTCTTCTCCATTCAGCCTGGCACTTTTCAGAGGCCCCAAATTCCTGTCCGATGGGAGAGTCTCAATTATAATTCTTGGAATTATTTGCAAGGTTTAAGATTCATGCTTGACCCAACCGACACTCTTCACAGCAATCCTGGCCTCATGGAGTTTGGATTAAAAGCCCAACTTCCAGTTGCTCTTAACTGGGAGACGGATGCAACTGGGATGATCCCAGGGTCTCCCAGAGTGGAGTCTAATCTTGGCTGGATCGTTGTTCTTTTCCATGTTTACGCAAGATAGAAACAGGGATGGACACGTGGGACAGTGATCAATTTTTTTTTTTTTTTGGACAAATGATTTGACTTTGTAGCTTTTGCTTCTCACGCACGCAGGGAGAAACTTTGGAAAAATATTTCCAGAGCGCAAAGCCGGATAGCCGACAGGAAAGCGTGCTTGATTAACAGGAAGGTATAATTTACACCCTAGAAAGAGATCCGTGCGAACTTTTCAGATAATTTTCGGATAACGGCTGTGATTCATCCAAGTTGATTTCTTGGCAGGGGTGAAATGTAAAATTTGTTACTACCGGTTCTGTGGGGGTGGCTTGGTTGGGGGGGGGTAATGTGACTGGGTGGGCATGGCCAACTTTAAAAAAAAAACTTTTCAAAGCATTTTTTCTAATGCTTTGAAAAGCCTCTCTGCCGATCAGGCAACTCAGCTGGGATCGTCAGAGACTTTTCAAAGCATTTTTTTTACCACCTCTTTGGAAGAGGTTGCCGCTTTGAAAAGCCTCTGACGATCCCAGCTGAGTTGCCGATCGGCAGAGGCTTTTTTTTTTTTTACTTTTAAAAGCATTTTTTTCATCCGAAGAGGTTGTAGAAAAAATGCTTTTAAAAGTAAAAGAAAAAAAAAAAGCCTCTGATGATTGCGTGGCTCAGCTGGGCAATGCGAGGGCGCAGGGATTTTTGCTACCGGTTCTCTGAACCACCCGCCATCATCGCTACCGGATCGGATGATCCGGTCCGAACCGGGAGCATTTCACCCCTGCTTCTTGGGGAAGAGTTGGGGTGGGTGGGAGGCACTAGACAGGTCACCCCAAATCACACATGGTGTCCAAGCAATTAGCATTGTTTCATCAGCTTCTAAAGGGGCCCAATCTTCTCTCTGTGGCATATAGGAAGTCCTCATCTCCCAACAATTCATTTAGCGACCGTCCGAACTTACAACCAACAGCACTGACAAAAGTTGACTTTTGCCCATTTTTCCCAGTTATGCTTTACATTCAGATGCTTGGCAAACGGGTTCATATTTATGACCGTTGCAGGGTCTTGGGATCATGTGATCCCTTTTCGGTGACCTTCTGGCAAGCAAAGTCAACGGGGAAGCCAGATCCGCTTAGCGACCAGGTGACTAATTTGACAACTGCTGCCATTCACTTAACAAATATGGTGGGGGAAGTCGTAAAATATTGCAAAAAAAGCCGCTCCTGACAAATGACTCACTTAGCAATGTAAATTTTGGGCTCAGTTTGGGTCATAAGTGGAGGATTATCTGTAGGGGTATGTTTTAATTCAGCTTAGAACTGGCCCTGCCTGATAAACAAAGGAACAACCAAATGCCAGTTCTGGACATCGCAGGTGGCTTTTAAATTAATAATAATTCTATTAATAAATGCTGCGCTTAAATGGATAAAGGGCCTAGCTATTAATATATATCTATAATACAGGTAGTCCTTGGCTTATGACCACAACTGAGCCCAGAATTTCTGTTGCTAAGTGAGGAATTTTGTGTTTTGCTCCGTTTTGCGACTTTTCTGGGCACTGCAGTTATTAAGATAGTAAAGTGGATGTTAAGTGAACCTGGCTTTGACTTTGCTTGTCAGAAGGTTTCCAAAGGGGGGGGGGTCACGTGACACACACCCCGGACCCTGCAAATGTCATAAATATGAGTCAGTTGTCAAAAGTCTTGAATTTTGATCACACAACATTGGGGATGCTGCAACGGTCGTAAGTGTGAGAAATGACCCTTAAGTCCATTTTTTCAGTGCCCCTTGTAACTTGGCAAATGATTCCCATTTATGACGATTGCAGGAACCGATGCCTCATGTAGCAGCATAAATTTTGGGCTCAATTGTGGTCTTTAAATCGAGGGACTACCTGTAATTGATTTAGAAGGGGAACTGGGAGGTCTTCTAGTCCAACCCTTTGCTCAAGGCAGGAGCCTTAGACAGACTGACAGAGCTGAAAGGGAACCTCAGAGGTCTTCTAGCCCAACCCCTTTGCTCAAGGCAGGAGCCTTAGACAGACTGACAGAGCTGAAAGGGAACCTCAGAGGTCTTCTAGTTCCAACCCCTTTGCTCAAGGCAGGAGCCTTAGACAGACTGACAGAGCTGGGAGGGAACCTCAGAGGTCTTCTAGCCCAACCCCTTTGCTCAAGGCAGGAGCCTTAGACCCCAGATTTGAGGACCCAGATTGTTGGGGCTCTGTATACCCCTTGGAGAGGGCTGCAGAGCCCAAAGTCAAAGTGCTATTGCTATACAGAATAATCAGGTTGGAAGGGTCCCCGGGAGGTCTTCTAGTCCAGCCCCCTGCTCGAGACAAGAGAGCCCATCCCATCCCATTGTCCGGTCTATTTTGGATCCATGGAGACGCGCTACTCTGGATCCCTCTGGCCGTGTGTGTGTGAGAGAGAGGGGGGGGGAAGGGGTGGGGGCGGCGGGCCCCCCTTACCTGCTTGCGGAGCGCCTCGAAGGCGGCGCTGATGGTGTGCACCCGGGTCCGCTCGCGGGCGTTGGCCAGCAGCCGCCGAGTCTGCTGCAGCGCTTTGATCTCCGAGCCGCCGCCGCTGCCGGCCGGATCGCTCGGCCGCTTGCGAGGCGAGGCGGAGCCCTCGGGGCCGCTGTTGCCGTTGCCGTTATACAAGAGCCGGGCAGGGAGGGCGGGCAGGGGGCTCTCCGCGACCCCCGCCGCCGACGGCGCCTCCTCCTCCTCCTCCTCGGGGAAGAGCGGCCCCTGGCAGCGCAGCGCCGCCGGGAAGGGCGCCTCGACCCCCGGCAGCCCCCCGGCTCCTCGCCCGCCTTCGGGGAAGCCCCGGGGTGGCGGGGAAGCCCTGCGCACGTGCTCCGGGACCCCCGCCTGCCCCCTCAAGCCGCTTCCTCCGCCGCGCAAGCCCGGCCGGCTCCTGCGCTTCAGCTTCTGGATGCCGCGCAACTCCTTGAGGCAGAAGCGCTTCCAGCGCGTCTCCGCCTCCATCAGCTGCAAGTTCTTCATGCCGGGCGCCGGCTGGGCTGGACCGGGCTGGCCTTGCTTGCTTAAGGGCCGGGCTGGAGCTTCTCCCCGGACGCGGCGGCGGCGGCTGCGGCTGCTTTGGCGGCGCCTTTGCGGGAACAGCTGCTCTGCTGCTGCCTGGCGGATTTGCAAACCCGGCTTCGCGCAAGCGGCGCGGACGGGCGGGCGGGGGAGGCTGTCAGCTGAAGTCCCGGCTGCTCTCGCTGCTGATGCCGCTGCTGCAGCGTCGGGGGGGCCGCCCAGCCCAGCCAGCCATCTGGGTTCGCTTAAGCCTCCGTTTGGCACAGGAGACCCCCGGGGGGAGGGAGGGAGGGAGGGAGGGAGGGGGACGCCGGGCAGGCGCTTCTTCCTCCTCTTCTTTGCGCAGCAGCTGGGTCGACCCCCCCCCCCGCCCGCTTTTCCTTGGCGGGGCCAGTCAGCCGCGCAGCCCCGACCCCCAAGGAGGAAGGGAGCGTGGGGAGGGGAAGGGTCTTAGGTCCCCGCCGCTGGCCGTCTCCGAGGCTGTCCCGCAGGCGGCGACTTGCAAGGGGGCGTCTCTTCCCAGCCCCCCTCCCCTGCTGAGACCATCTGTGCCCATCCTAAAAGACGAAACGATCCCGAATGCAGAATGAGAGAGTTGGAAGGGACCTTGGAGGTCTTCTAGTCCAACCCTCCCCTGCTTAGGTAGGAGACCCTACACCATTCCAGACGAATGGCTGCCCAGTCTCTTCTGAAAAACCTCCAGGGATGGAGCACCTACAACTTCTGGTGGCAAGTTGTTCCACTGGTTAATTGTTCTCACTGTCCTTAGTTCCAAATTGCTTCTCTCCTTGGTTAGTTTCCATCCCTTGTTTCTTGTCCTGTCTTCAGGTGCTTTGGGGAATAGTTTGACTCCCTCTTCTTTGGGGCAGCCCCTGAGATATTGGAAGACTGGTATCATGTCACCCTTCGTCCTTCTTTTCATTAAACTAGACATACCCAGTTCCAGTAACCGTTTTTCATATATTTTAGCCTCCAGTCCCCTAATCCTCTTGGTTGCTCTTCTCTGCACTCTTTCCAGAGTCTGAGCATCATATTTTGTATTTTGGTGACCAAAACTGAACACAATATTCCCAATGTATACAGCAGTGCAGCACAAAATAGGATTAATACTTCTTGTGATCTTGATGCTGTCCCTCTGTTGATGCAGCCTGGGATTGCATTGGCCTTTCTGGCAGCTGCAGCACATGCCTGGCTCACATTTAAATGATTCCCAGACCCCTCGCACAGGCACTCCTGCTGAGGCAGCTACTACCTTCTATGGCTGTGCATTTGGTTTTTTTCTTGCCTAAGTGAAAACCCTTTTTCTTCTCACCACTAAATTGCCTTTTGTTGGATAAGGCCCAGGTCCTTCTGGATCTTCACTCCATCTTCTAAAGGGTTCCATCTTCTATTCCAGCCATCTTGGTTCTCAGGTCTCAGGAAATCCAGCAGGTTCTGACAGGTTCTGGAGAACCAGTATGGAAAATTTTGAGTAGTTCAGAGAACCAGCAAATGCCACCTCTGGCTGGCCGCAGAGTAGGGTGGGAATGGAGATTTTGCAATATCCTTCCCCCAGGAGTGGGAAGGGAATGGGGTTTTTGCAGTATCCTTCCCCTGGAGTGGGGTGGGAATGGAGATTGTTAAGGGTGTACCAACCAGCAGAGTGTAGAGCACAGAGAAACGTTGCTGAGAGCAATGAATAAGAGATGTGCAAACTGGTTTATCAAAAGTTTACTTTATAGTGAAAAAAAATCTCAGTCTTTAAATCAATCCAAGTCTTTGCCAGTTAAATCAGTCCAGTGATGCAAAAATCTTCTTACCACACAAACAGTAGTTGGTTAGAATAACAAACTCACTCTGGTAACAAACCACGATGGTAGCAGATCCATCCAACGATGATAGCACAATGGTAGAAACTCCACACACAATGGTAGCTTATCATCAACTGAATATGTTACAGTACCCTTCTTAAATACGTTTACAACTAGTGATTATCTAATTACAGCATGACTCAGCATTACAATGAATCAGCAGTAAAACTTTAAAGTCACACAAAACATATTCATATTAAAGTCACAGAACACATATATTGCCTGGACAACTTGTTAGGCTCAAACCATATCCTAACAGAGATTTTGCAGCATCCTTCCCCTGCCACGCCCACCAAGCCACACTACACCTACTAAGCCACAGCCACAGAACCGGTAGTAAAAAATATTTGGATGTCACCACTGCCTCATCTAAATGGTTAAATCCCCCCTCCCTCCCTCCTAGGGATTTGCTAGATTTTCTGCTAGATTTGCTAGATTTAAATTTGCTAGATTTTCATCAGGAACGGAGAAGAACGAAGATAAACGGACAACCGTTGAAGCACCAAGAGAGACCGTGGGAGGTGGGAAACCAGGCGGAGAGCTTGGAGATTGTTTCTGAGTGGCGAGGGAAGGACAGAAGACATTCCGCCACTCCTGCAGAATATAGCTAGCTATCATTGTTTTTCATTCTTGAGCATCCCCTTTGCCAAAATCTTGGCGTGGGGCTGGGACAGTGAGTTGCTTGCTGGGCCTGTTTGCAAGGTTCCTCGTGGATAAGGTCACACGGATGCGCTTCAAACCGGACTCCAGCATCGGGGCAGGCTGTAGTGAGGTCTTCTCAGCCACAGGGTCTCTCCTGCTATTCTGGATCCTTTTCAGCTTGTTGATCTTGGAGAATTTGGGCAGCGTGCTTGGAGAGAGACAGGCTTCCGTTGAAACCTTGCCTCTCCTAACTAATGAGATCCTTGCAAGCCAACTGGTTTTTCGGAAGAGCTCTTTGTTTCCCGTGTCATTTCCACAATGTCCACCATTAAAGTTTTGATTTAAAAAAAAAAAAAAGATGTGGAGACTCTGGAAAGAGTGCAGAGAAGAGCAACAAAGATGATTAGGGGACTGGAGGCTAAAACATATGAAGAATGGTTGCAGGAACTGGATATGTCTAGTTTGATGAAAAGAAGGACTAGGGGAGACATGATAGCAGTCTTCCAATATCCCAGGGGCTGCCACAAAGAAGAGGGAGTCAAGCTATTCTCCAAAGCACCTGAGGGCAGGACAAGAAGCAATGGATGGAAACTAATCACGGAGAGAAGCAACCTGGAATTGAGGAGAAATTTCCTGACAGTTAGAACAATTAATCAGCGGAAGTACTTGCCTCCAGAAGGAGTGAATGCTCCAACACTGGAAGTTTTTAAGAAGAGATTGGATAACCATTTGTCTGAAGGGGTGTAGGGTTTCCTGCCTGGGCAGAGGGTTGGACTAGAAGACCTCCAAGGTCCCTTCCAACTCTGTTATTCTATTCTATTAACTTGTGTCAACCTTTGACAGTCTATTTGTGGCCTTGGGTGTCCTCTGGTGATGGAGGGAGGGATGTGCCCATGTTTTCAAGCCTGGTTTTAGCCTTGCAGAAGGTTTCTCTTGATGGAAACCAACTTCTGGGATTCACGATGACCTCCCATTTAAGATGTATCTCCTTTAAACTATCCGGAGCAATTGACTGTTCCTTGACTACTCAAGGAAGAATGGGAGGAAATTCCATAACTCACATTTGGGATGAGTTTGGTGGTGAAATCTTGGGTCTTGAGGGGCTGCAACAGGGCACGAGGGTGGAGGGGCTGCCCATCCTTGGTGCATGATGTTTCTCAGACCATGAAATCCACGGATCTCAAACAGATCACATGACCCTGGGACACTGCAACTGCCATAAATAGGAACCAGTGGCCAAGGGGCTGAATTTTGATCACATGACCAGGGGTTGCAACAATGGCCGTAAGTGTGAAAAATGGTCATAATTGAAAGACTGCCCGTATCATGACTATTGTATGTGGGTATGTGTATTTGTGTGCATGCATAGTCTTTCACAAATTTCTTTAGAATATAAAGAATATGACTAGTTATGAAACACTCTTCAGGAAAGGAAAGAAAAGAAAAAGGGAAGGGAAGAAAGGAAAGGAAAGAAGGGAAGGGAAGGAAATAAAGGGAAGAGAAGGAAGAGCAAAAGGAAAGGGAAGGAAGGGAAGGGAAGAAAGGGAAGGAAAGGAAGAAGAAAAGGAAAGGAATGGAAAGGGAAGGGAAGGAAGGGAAGAAAGGAAAGAAGGGAAGAGAAGGGAAGGGAAGGAAAAAGGAAAGGAAGAGTGAAAGGAAAGGAAGGGAAGGAAGGGAAGGAAGGAAGGGAAGAAAGGGAAGGAAAGAAGGGAAGAAAGGAAAGAAGGGAAGGGAAGAGAAGGGAAGGGAAGGAAAAAGGAAAGGAAGAGCAAAAGGAAGGCAAGGAAATAGGCCCAGTGGCTTCAAATTCTGTCCTTCCTTTCCTTTTTATGTGCTCCGTTAGATGCTTTCATTATCTGATCTCTATTCCATACATTAAAGTGACACCATGCAAAAATCTGTTTTCAATTTCCCCCAAGTTTTCTCCCCTGAAAAAAAAACAAAAAAACCCCCAAAAATCCCAAAACTTTTTTTTCCTTTTGCCCTAAGGAATCCTCAACATGTTCCTCCCCATTCAACACCCCCCTTTGCAAGCAACTCACCCCCCCCTCCAGATGCATGTTCTTATCTGGCTTATCAGCTGGCCGAGGACCTGGCCTTCCTTCCATTGTGCAGCCTGCCTGCTCCTTGGGTAGCTTCCTCATTTCGGGTAAATTCCAAAGTGGGGGGGGGGGAGGAGAAATATGAACATTTTTTGGGGGGGGAGATTGGGAAGCATGAGCAACAAGTTTTCAGGGAGCTGGGAGGATCCAGAGCAGGAGGGGGGGGGATCAGCTTTTTGCATTCCTCCAGAAGCAATGAAGTTAGCAGGAATTTGGGAGAAATAATCAATCTGCAATTGACTTGTGATTATAAGATTGCAAATGTAAGATGGGCCACTTTGCTTAGTTGCCTTTTTTTTAAAAAAAAAAATCCTAGTATCTGTGCTGAATTTCTTACTGGCACGTCCCGTACAGTAGTTCTTGACTTACAACAGTTTCGTTTAGTGACTCTTTGAAGTTACGGCAGCACTGATAAAAGGGGACGTTTTCCACACTGATGACCGTTGTAGCATCCCTGAGGTCAAGTGATCAACCTTCAAAGGCTTGGCCAGTGACATGTACTTATGACGGTTGTAGCGTTCCGGAGTTACGTGATCCCTTTTTACGACCATCTGACAAGCCAAGTCGACGGGAAAAGCCAGATTCGCTTAACATCCATGTTGCTAACTTAATAACTTCAGTGATTTGCTTAAC